CAGTGGTACATGAAACCTTGCTAATCGCCTGTACCTTAGTGCTGGAGGACTAGTGACTTTACACTCAGGTGCAACCATGGGAGAATGTAGAGACACGCCTGAATCAACGCTGCTTTTATCTCGTGGCTGGTCTTTTCCAGCAGGGATCATTTACCTGAAATGTGAATAAAATTCACTAATGTGAAGTTAAAATGTACTGAGCCTATGTATCCCTGATCTCTTTATCCTTGTTTTTTGTTGCATTTCAAGTGGTTAATTCATTTTAGTTTACATTCTCACTAAAATTATCCATCACTTGCTGTTTTTTTCATCTGATAAAGGCTAGTTACCACATTAGCTAGTCGTAAACATTTACACTTGATGGTAGCTTTGCATTAGGCTAAATCTAGATTTATTTCTTTGTATTTGAGTAGTGACATTTATGAAATCTATGAAATCAGGGTCATGGGTAATGTTCTTATAATTGTAAACAACCACGCTAGCAGGCAATAAACAGCAATAAATTAAAATGGCAATAAATTAGAAAATTAATCTGCATCAGTTGGTACCGCAGTAACTTTTAACTTGACTCTGACCTTATGTATACACATGCAGCAATTGTATAATTATTAGTGTCTTGTTGGTTGTGTTGTCCTGAAAAGCTCCTGTTAGTTTTTAGTTTTTTATTCAAGCATACAGTTTTTCTTTTTATATAATTGCAATGCAGCTCAGGTTAAGTACCTATCTCAAGGGTACAACAGCAGGGCCCTCTACTGGCACTTTAAACTAGAACCTTTCCTTCTCAATTCAAGTTCTTTATCTAATATGCTACCTGCTGTCTCTACTGTCGGATTAGCATTCTCTGTGACTCTTTATGTGAAAAGGGAGCAAAAGTCTGAGGGATGGAAAAGACGTTTTCCAGCTCTGTCTCTGCCCTTTAGAGAAGGTTTGAGCTCTCCAAATACCTTGTATGAGTTGAAGTCGTTTTGTTAACACAAGACAGAGATCACAGACAACCCTGGTTACTCTAGTTTTTGTTCCATTCAAATCCCCCCCACTGTCAGTTTCGCTAAATTATAATGCAGGGGAGACCAGAAATACAATAATATTTAAAAGGCACTGAGACAAGGACAGCAAAAGAGGTGAAGAGCTGCTATCGGAATAGCAGAGAATGGTACATGGGCCCTGTTGGTGGACATGAAAAGCTGCTCAGTCTCAGGTTTGCGTCTTATTAAATATCAGCATGCTGTCTGCTTCTCAAGTCCTGCCTCCTGTGTTGTGAAAATACTTTCATCTCCTGCAGTGAGATGAAAAGGGGCAATTTGAGAATGAGAAAAAATGGATAATTATTTAAGCATAATGAACAACAGCTAATATTTATCTCACTAATGTCTGCACATAGCAAGGCTAAACCTTGCTGATTTTTCTTTTGAGAAAATCAAAAGATGAACATATAAGAAGTAAATGAACATTTAGAAAATAAATTTTGGTTTGGCCAACTGATCTCTATCAGATCTCATTTAATTTTCTCTGTGACAATAGTAATACATTTTTACTTGAAAATAAGCAAGATATACAATGTGCCCTTATGCTTGACAGTGAGCATACTCGTCTGTTACTTACTGTGTAATTGCACTATTGCACTAATAAACTAAATTCATTTATTCACACTTACTGCAAGCCTTTTGGTGTATTTCCTGACTTTGTGGCTACAATAAGTTAAAGTTCAAACAACAGCTTATATTACATCTGATATCTGCTGACAACATAATTTTTTAAACCTGCCTGTTATTTTAATAATATTAATATGGGTATGTGAGATTTTAATTAACAATAGCTTCCCTTTTGAATAACTCTTACAATATAACACAGCTCAATAACTCAAGAAAAACAGGAATGGAAGTAATTGATGACAAACACAACTATAAATATCCTCACAGCAGAAATACATTTTATTATTATGAAATGTAACAGAGCAACACAGTTAATGGCAGGATAATACTTTGCAAGTGACAGTTTTACTTGCAATGGTTTAAAAACTTGCCAAAAGCTTTCAAGAAGTGACTTCTCACTTTCTTATACAAACCACAGCTAATATATTCAGCCATTTTGTATGTTGTCTAAAAGAACTATACTGGAATCTCCACACATATGCTTACCTCTCCTTTTATTCATCCTTTTGTGCTTTAAAACCCATTCCTGAACCAATTCCAAAAGGACAAACATTCCTCCTTTCACAGGGTATTTTTGAATCACTAATGTAGTTAGTTTAATTACACATGCAGCAACAATTGTACTCTATAAAGCCCATATAGATGCATTTGCGTCCAAAATTTTTTACAGCATGGTACAAATGGTTGCATGGTGTTACTGGGGTCTATCAAATCTACCTAAAATCTGATGAGTTTAGCATATCGTAATCATTACAATTGGGTCGAAGGGCCATTTGCATGCTTACAAGTACTTACATGAGCAACAATCTGCACCCTTAAAACAGGCACCTTTTCATCAAACATGAAGTCAGTCACAGGCATTATTATGCAAATCCTGCTGGTGGTAATCCTGTGCTAAGATTGCTAATTATTGTTAATATGCAAATGAATTACAAAGATGCTTTAATGAACTTGGGCCTCCAATCATCACAAGAGCTACAAATTATGTCAGCTGGACATTAAGTGACAGAACTGAGCAGTGAGTAGTAATGTCTCTGTGATTCAGTGACAAAGCCCATCAGCTTCCAGTAGCTCAGTAGAAAAGCATGTACGGATCTATTAAAAGGGAACACAGCCGCCAAGTGAGCTCTTTGAACCTTCAGTCGTCCTCTTTTATGTCAACTAATTATCTGTAATAAAATTTCACTATAAAATGAGTATTACATCAAATTACACTGACATCAAACTACACAAGCATGATTTTATCTACACAAATCTGGATTAATATGGATTAATTAATATGATGTGCATTTTTATATATATATCTTTTATATATATATCTTTTATGCTAATTTATAAATCTATTGATTATTATTATTCCATACAACTATTTGTCTTCCAACTTAAGGAACCAGGTACATATAAATAATTATATATGTGTATATATGTGTGTGTGTGTGTGTGTGTGTGTGTGTGTGTATATTTAGTATGCTGAATTTCTATTTCCATATTGAAATAAATATAGAACTATGTCATGATTTGTCTTTGGTTTATCTTCAAAGGACTAAGAAGCTTTGTGAAATAGCACACAGTGCACTGATCAAAACCATCACACAAAATTAATTTGCATCCCTTGAGTTCTGCAGTCTAGATCTGTGGGAGTGATGAAGAGTGTTGTTGATCTGTAAGTGTTATTACCATACACAACACCTTCGCAGGATTGCATTCAAACAACTTTTTAGGCCAGAAAAGGGATGGGTATTCAAAAAATGAAGACATACAAAAAAATGTATAATTCACAATTTTATTGGCAAAAAAAGCTGTAAATAAATCGCTGATACTGTCTTGAAAGTCAGAGTGTATTAAGTGAAACATAGCAACAAATGGTATAAAATACAAATTAAATATTTTACCTTTAATAGAGTCAGCGTTTGTTTGCACATTAAAAGCAGGCAATTAAAACTGATCGGCAAGTGTATAGAGTGAAGCTCCCATCTGCTCATCTACACAGTTTTTGTACCGAAACACAAGGCCTGAATTACATGTCACAATTACAAAACCTCATCGTCATCCAGCGATGTAAATTAATTATACTTAGACAGCGTCAACGGAAATCCCCTTTTTTTTTTTTAAAGCTTCAAAAGCCAGACAAACCTTCTGGCTCCCAGAAAGTCTCTGAAGTCCTCTCACTCCATTTACAAAATTATTTTCTTTTCATGTTCTAGAAGCAGTGAATTTCAGTTACAAACACACTGACACATAAAAACATGACGTGAGCCAAATCAAGTAGGATGTTGATAAACTCCAGAGCACAGGCAAGGAAAACAGCTGCCTTTTTTTGGTCTCAGCATTACTGGGTATCTGCGTTTCTTGCTTTTCCCCTGTCTACATTATGTGATAGATGAATAGATATGGGACAAATGGGAACAACAGGAGGTAGCTCTCACACTTACATTCACTCTATTGTTTTCCTTGATATAATTTTTCTCCAGGATATTCTGTTTTGAGATATTATAGGTATGCAGGTTATTGCTCACAATTCATTTACATAAACTAGCCAGATCCTTTCATGTTATAAAGAATGCAAATGTGGACAGTTCCTTATGTGTATAAACATTACCTGTAAAGTCTAGGTTTTAACAAAATGAAAATGTTTAGTGTTTAGACATTAAAGGGAAATTCAGATGGACTATGCTTGTAAATTTAATCATTTGTCTAAAGATCCATCCATTCAGTTTTTTAAAAATATTTGGTATATTTTTATATAGCATCCGAAATCAAAGTAGCCTCTGTGAGTGGAATATTGAGTATATGAGTTTTGCGGAAATCAAATGAAATTGCGACATGGCCAGCCCCCTATTAGCAAGTGGAACAAAGCAATGTAATTGTAGGGAAACCAAAAAGTTGAATTATACCAACAATGTTTCATTAGTATTCCACAGTTTGCACTTAGCGACATATTAAAGGGTAGTTCACAGGAATAATAAAATGTGACGATCGTCAACTGTTAATATTGGTATTTTTGGTTAAGATTAATAGAATGAGAATAACCACCAAAGGTGAGTTTCCTGAAGCCTTCTTAACGCTACGGTGTTCGCAAGTTCTATGTTACAAGATAGAACTTACGAACGACATAGCGTTAAGAAGACTTCGGGAAATTCACCCCAGATCAGTTGTAGGAGACACCCTAGCAGGTTTTGGAAACAGATACTATGTTCTGCATCGTGCATCTGCATACAGTATGTGCTTTTGGCAGAATCTTAGTCAGTGCTGCCTCAAGGCACCACAACCTCTGCCTTTATTTAAATACTGTAGTACACTTGCATGTTAATTCAATTCAATTCAATTCAATTCTTTTATTGTCATGTGTAAAGGTACGAGTGCCGTGTACAATGAAATGCTTGCTTGCATGTGCTCCTGCAGACAGTGAACATAGACAACAGGATGACAAGTTAATGTAAAGATGAAGTGAATTATAAATAAGTAGATAAATAAGACCAGAATCCCAGGAATAAATAAAGACTTAAACAGAGGCTTCTATTCTTACTGGAACAAATAAGGCAAACTAGCTGTATTTCAACATAACCTAAGGCAGCAGTAAGAACCAAAGATTGATGGTTATATTTTGGTTGCAACCAAGATTTCCAGAATCTCCATGTCCAATCATTGAGTTGAATGCAATCATATATTTGTGTATTCGCTCCTCATGTCTAATACAACTAATGCGCTCTTAACAGTAACTTAAACATTAAACTCGCAGAATTTTGCATCAGTATCTAATAGTTTCTTCCAACTTGAGGGTACAATATCATGCACACTGAAATAACAAGGAAATACATACTACAGAAAGGCTGTTTTTATGAATGAGACCATCATATACTGTAAAGAATTGAGCAACTGTCCAAACTATGTGATTTATTGGAAATAAATTAGACAGCAATGCCAATGTCCCTTTGACGATTATAAGACACATCAAGGTTGTCTGCTAAAAACTTTGATATGTCAGGCTAAACTAGAATCAATACCTTGCGCGTGAATTAGTGTCTTCTTGTACAGCCTGGGGAATCCATGTCATTCAAAAAAAAAAAAAAATGCTATGTATAGTTAATGAAAATCTGTTTTAAATTACTACAGTTATTCAATGAGCCTTCGGAGATGGTTGTTATTAATAAATCATATTAACCAAATATGAACTACTTCATATAAAGTATGTCACTGAAATTCAAATATTTATTTCAAATTTTGCATTTAATATAGTGTAAATAATAATTTTCACCAGAATATTAAATCCATAACAAAAAGGATTTTATATATATTTTTCTGTTGCTTGCTTTTTTAATTAAGAGACTGCAAATATTATGTTCTAAATATGCAGCTTTTCAGATAATATGGTTCCAAATATTACTAAAGAAAAACAAATACATTAAAAAAACTAACATTGAACAGCCGTCTTACAAACTAGTAACTCATTTATATTTAAAAATAACTGTTCCAAATTGATATAATAACTATTAAAAGTACTCAGGGTTAGTGACTTATGTAAAAACCATTAGAAAACTTTTGTTACCCTGTTGTGTTACCCTAACAAAGGCTGAAATATTCCAGTAACATTAAACGCACACAATTTTCTCAGTATGCCTGTCAAACCTATAGGTAACTGTACCTCACTTTAGATAGCTGTGAAGCTGCTTGGGTTTGGCCCTCTTGGAAAGGCCGACTCTTATTGGCCGACTGCAAGTCTTCAAAGGCTCCAGCCTTCTGGGCTGTTCAGGCAACACTGGAGACAAAAACAATATCAGTTTTAAAAAGCACCTGTGGTACTTGCTCTTGTCATCGAATTTGTAGCTATTTTATATGTCTGAATATATAATTCTAATAACTTGTAACAGCAAAAGTGATGGTAATTATAAAGTATGTAATAGGAAATATAAAGTAAGAGACTGTGTTAAAAAAGGCTTCACTTGCCAAATTTTAATTTATATTTTATTATTACTAAGTAGCTAATGTAATTACCACTCATTAAACATTAAAATAGTTTAATCATTCGTACATAAGATGAGATTTTAGTAACGTCACCTACTTTGATTCTGTCCATTAAAGGAGGCAAGAGATATGAAGGCAGGAGTCCATTTTTTACGTTCATCCAAAACCTTCTTGCATCCTGATACAGAGAATATAATACCGACCATCAACAATGATGGTTCCTGAATAATGGTTGGATGTAGTTTGAACTATTTCTTAATTCCATAATAACCTCATCAGATATAGTACAATTGTAAGAGTAAACATATAAAAACACACCAAACGGATATGACATTTGCTGGTCAAAACTACTGTCAATACCCAATGTAATATATTACAATATAATTTATCTTATTTTATTTATAAGATAAATTATCTTAAACCTATTGATCACTGCATTTATTTCTTGCAAGAGGGATATAACAAGATAAATGTTCATAGACATTTAATCATACACACAGACAAAAATTCTTACAACACAACTAATATTTACCCTTATGCTTGACAGTGGAGTACATTGAATCTTCTAACTCTGTTGTTAGATGGCCACATTCCAAAGGCACCTCCTGCTCATATTCACAGCCATGTCGGTCAGGTGTAGTTTTTTTCTGCCTTCTAAGAGCTGTCATATTACAGCTATTCATCTCTTTATCTGTGCTTTCTTTCTTTTCCTCTACAGGGTTCCTCAACATGGGGTCAATTTGCTGCTCAGAGACTTGCTCCTCAGGCCCTTTAATCAATAACATTTTACAAGGCTTCTGTCTTAATAGCATATGTGTGTCCGTATGTTTTTCTAGAAATTGAAGTGGCCCCTTCTGTACCAAGTCAAAGTTTTCCTTAGCTTCAAATGTAGGTGTGACATTGTCGTCAGATTTTGAAATGCAATTTTTCCCTTCCAACGGTTCTGTTCTACCTTGTCTGACTACCTGCTTCCCCAACCTTATGTCAAAGATGTCATTGTTTAGGGATTTTTCATAATGGACACTTTCAGTGGAGCCCTTATTATTGATGCTGCAAAGGGTGGATCCATCCTGAAAAATAACACACTCATTTTCTGCAACTGTGTTAGTCTTATGTAAATCTACAAGTGGCTTAGTATGATTCTGAATAACCTCTTGTGAAGGCTGAGCTACTTCAGAACGAGACTGTAACATTATGGTACATTCTCTGACAGTTGATTTGTTGAGAAGAGGGCTGGATTCTATTGGTGTTTTAGGAGTCAAGTGGGAATCAAAAATTGCAGGAACCAAGTCAGAGCTGAAAGGCACAGGTAACTGAGCATGGTTCTTCAGACTGTTCTCTTGTTCATTCCCTTGACGTGAATCCCACTTAGGTACTACTGCATCATTGGCAGTGGCAGCAGCAAGTAACTCTCCTTCCTTATGTTTGTCAATAGTTATATCTCTGTGTGTTGACAATAAAAGCTGTCTATTTTTTACTATACATCTCTCCACAAAGGACAAACCATCCAATTTATCTTTCTTATTGATACCAGAGATTGTTTTAATTGTCACTATGTCTGACAAAATATGTTTATCCAAATATGTTTTTTCCTGTGTTTTTTTAAACCGATGCTCCATCAACACCACAGTAGAATCTGATGCAACAGGTTTATTTTGTACTATTATGCCAGTTTCACTGTAGATGAGGGACTCAGTTACTTTTGCTACATTCATTGCATCATCTGGAATTTGTGATTCGCTCCAAGAGTCCTTTCCTGGTGCCTGTTCAGTGCATTCAGACAAACTTTCCGTAGCTGTACAAAAAGCATTATCCCATTGCGCTCTAACAACATAGTGCAGATCCACACTGTTTGCACTTTCCTTGCTTTCTAAATTATTTTTTAATCCCACATCAAGAGTTTCAGTAGCATTGTTGATATGGTAAGATGTCTCAGTCACAGTTCTCTCAGGATGCACATTGCAATGGTTAACTTCAGCTTTTGCTTCCAATTTAATTTCTACAATGTCTTTCTTATCAGCCTTCAGTCTAGCTCCATTTCCCTTGTACTGTAATCCATGCTCCTCCATTTTTGAAACACTCCATAGCATATCATTCTCAATGAGAGATGGCAGAGATTTTCTGTGGTCACTAAACAATGTGCTCACCATTGGATACTTTTCAGTCATGTTATACTGATGTACATCAGGCTTCCTATCATCTTTGGCTCTTTGACTCCCTGAAAAGCTTTTGTCCAGACTGGGTATGGCTGCATTTAGAATGACATTTTCAAAAGCACGGTCTGAGGTCTTATTGTCACATCCAGATTTGGAGAGCTTGTTCATCCTTCTGATTGGCTCCACTTCATCCAGAGTCACAATATAATCAGGCTCTAGTAAACCCATTTCAAAATCTCCCACTGTGAAAGTCTCGTTTTTCCTGCCAGCCCTATTGTTAACTATTTCTGAAGTATCTTCTGTATCACGTCCAAAGGGAAACAGATATGGCACATCTATATCCCTCAGAAACGTTTGCTTTTTGGTTTCTAATTCCTGAAAAATATTTGCATTGTTATTTACTACATATAAGCTCAAGCCTGATACCTTATTTATTTGAGTTGAATTCTCGTTAATAAAGTCTGCTGCTTCTACAGTTCCAAATTTGCATCCAGGATATTTAATACTTTTTTGTATTAAATACTGTTCTTCGGAAGTTTCATCTTGCAGGGTATTTTGAAATAAAAGATGCTGATCGTTACAGTCTAGTGGAAAACCATGAAAACTTGGCAATGGAAAATCTGGTATAGTATTTTTACTTTCAAGATATTTTTCAGGCGCAAGTAACTTTGACCGTTTAGGAAATGATGGTCCACAATCATATTTAAGATAACTATTCTCTGTTATATCTAAGTCTTCCATCTCTTTTGTATTCTATTGTGAACAATCTGTAACATAAAATATAAAAGACAAAATTATTGTCTGAGCTTTCCAGTCCCATAACAAACTTTTTTATACTCAATTACCCTTAAAAATAATGCCTTAATCTTTTTAATCAGATAAAATTCAAAAGCATAAAATAGAATTTAGAAATGCAAATAGAATTCCAACAATATTTGGCACAGTCTGGCACAGAATCAAAGTAAGAAGAAATATTCATAATACCATATCAATATGTTTTTACATTATTAAATTGAATTTTACATGTCTAAAAATCACTATGACCCTCTACTGTATGGACTGTTATGGAAGATAAATGGATCAATAAAAATCCATTGTCGCTTGATTCTTTAATTTCAATTAATCCTTTTTTTTCTCATTGAAAATAAATTTTAAAGACATACTTGAAACTACATGAAATCTTCAACATGAATCCACCTGCAAATAAAAGAAACTTTAATGATTTTAATTTACAGTGTAGATTGTGACATATATTATTACCACACCCTTATAATATAACAGTGGGTGATTATAGTAGCATTATTGTCCATAACACTTAAAACATGGCTAAGGATTTTGAAGACAGTCTCAGAGTCTGCAGATGTCAAGCAGAGAGTTTAATGGGCCTAATGAAGAAGTACCTCATGTTATGTTTTGTGTCAGAATAATGCTAATAGGCTATTGCGATTTCATTAGCCATCTTTTACACTGAGGTTTTGTTTATATGTATAATTTCCGTTGATAACTGCATAAATTTACCAAAACATTGATGTTATATCAAACTACAACTATATATTATGTCTTACGTATAATTTTCGAACTAGAAATGAGGAGAATAGCTTCAACGGATTGGCTATTTGACGATTACTTACGATACTCGAACGTTACAACTCTGTAGAGCTTAAAGTAACTTAAATGTAAAAAAGTATTGTCGTTCTCTCTACTACGCTACAGCTCACTTATAATACCATTATTTAAGTACCAAGCAGCATGTTGTATCTCGTTTATTATTTCAAAATAGCGCTCCGAAGAAGGCGTCACGTGACGTTATCTGCACGAGGATGGTGCTGCTTATTTAATACACTGCGTAAGAGCTTGTCATACAATCAGATTTAGGCAAAATAATGTCTTCCAATGTTTAAATGATTCAAAATGCTTAGTTTTGCTATTCTATATAATAATGTTTGTTTTTATGGACCATATAACACATTTAAAGTATATTTCATGCAAAATAAATAAATACATGGATTCAATATAGAAATTCAACATAATAATGCTATGTTTTTTTTGTTAATGTTATGTTTTTAATGTTATGTTATGTGTTTTTCTGTGATTTAATAAGGTATCGCGTACTTTAGAACCTCCACTTAGTCTAGACTTTTAGACTGTTAGAAATCTCCGTGCATTAGGATGTTCCTCCTTTCCTGCTGATCACTGGTACCCCCTACACGTCTGGTTGCTGGTGTAACTTTGTTTTCATGCTTGGAAATGTAAGGTGGATGCAGAGTAGGAGGCGTATTTTAGCTCGCGCATACGCAAAGGGCACCGCGTCGTGCAACAGCGCTGCTTGGCGAAAATACTGGGTCCGCATGAAACAAACGTGTGATACTGTCTGACGGGGCGCACCATTGTGTCACATACCCTCAAACCGACATCGGATCGCTTCCCGCTGCATCCTTTGGAGCAGATTCTCCACATTTTTTGTTTTCCCCCCCTTTTTTACTTTGAGCATACTAATATATCAAGAGAGCCTTTTCATTCACAAGTATACGCAAAACAGACCGGTCCTCCATTTGCTCCGCTTTCTTTTAAGGTAAGGCGCGACAATTCATTCAAATGTGGGTAAACATGAAGGGGGTGTTTTTACTGTGGTGTTTTTAAATTGATTAATGAACAAGTATTGTGTATTCGCATGTACGACGATTAATGAATCAAATGGGATGCCTTTCTGAAAACTAATCAATGCAGAACCACTTATTAACTTTTATATTTCTGACCACATACCATGAATTACAGGTTATCCAGTGCCAAAAACATTATCAGAGGAATTTGCAGTTGACGTTGTGTGCTGTATATTGTATGGTTAATTAAAACAGAATTATTTCAGGTGCAAACACACCGGAATTTAACACACAATGGATGGGAAAAATCATAGCGAAATGGGATTTCCTTTGAAAACTAAAACCTGCAGTCAGGAACCATTTGCATTACTACCAAAAGAGTAGGAATTCCTTTGGAGCTTGTTTACGGAATGATGCCCTCGATATGATTTTGGCAACACTTTTGATTTTGCAGAAAGCTCTTTTTCGAACAGTGAATGGGTGGATCGTAAGTTGAAGGACGATTCAATGGCAATTTTCATCTCTGAGCGAAGAGCTAGTGTTTCCCGAACCAGTAAGACGGCAATTTCAATTGGTATGACAGCGGAGCGCAAATCGATTTCCCTGTTCGCACTGTTGCCTGTGTCTTTTTTTCTCTTCTGGCACGCTGACATGCGTGCAACAGTCCTGGCGACCCCGCTGTTATTTTAATGACAGGAATGTAAATTTAACGAGAATCATTATGCAGCAAGATTTGGGGGATATATATTCCATTATTTAATAAGGAAATCATGGAAATGCATTATTCACCAACATTTTTTCTGGTAGCACGTGGTGTCAATTTATACCATGATCTGTTGTGCATTAATCTATTCTTTTGTCGTTTCTTTTAATCAGTAACATATAGCATACATTAAATTACTCTCGTTTTTGACTGTCAAGGTCATTCCCCGGTGGATAATGTTGGGAATAGGACCTTCGCGGGCGTTACATAATGCCCCAGCACAACAGTAAATGGATCTGGTTCATTATGTACTTAGCGACTGTTCAGTAAAGCTTGACCAATCGAATTTAGCCTTATGTATACATGCGGCAGCATTTGTGGAAATACCATTTTATGCATAGCATATCAGGACTCTTCGATCATTCATTAAACGTACGTATTTGACAGACCGAGCTCTTTGGTGCTTCACAGATATTCTTAATTGTTTTGACATTTGATTGTAGTTAAACATTTTGCGTTAAAGTTAGATCATTAAAACGGCAAATTATGAGTATTTTTTATATGAAACGGCAATTTGCCCGATGTTTTAGCAAAAGAAAATTTGTTTAGTTTAAAAATGTGCCGATTTTGTTTTTCACTTTTGGGATTTGACCATAATAGTGATAGGGTGTATTGTAAATGAATATGTAATGGTATATTTATATATAATCATTTAGATTACTTAGATATTAGACCATATGTAATTACTTGACAATTATGCAGGCAAGGCAAAGATGTGCATTGGTATGGGTTATCTCTGTAATACATAACACATTGGAAAAATACCTCACAACAAAGAACTAAATAGGATTTCCAGTAGCACAAACAAATTATTATGTTGCGTAAATGTTATTATTGTATGGTATGTTGAGTAAACAGTATTGTGCAACAGATGCTTTCCGATACAGTCAGAATGGTTGAGTGCCAGGTTTCCGCATTATGGACAGATGTATGATTAGAGCAGTGTGCAGGCAAATACATAGATGGCACACATGTAGTGCGTACTTGGGAGTGATGCAGCCGGGACTACACAGAAATGTCATGTTTTCATTCGTGTTCTGGAAATTTTCCTCAGATTGTCTACTTTTAGGACTGATTTGAGATTGAACTGCATTTTCTGACTCCAAGCGTTACAAATTTTCTGACTCCAAGCGAGCTCGATGGGCCGAATGGCCTCCTCTCGTTTGTATAGTTCTTATGTTCTTATGTTCTAAATATAAAAATGCTTATTAAATATAAGGTGAAGCGATTCAAAACCAATCCATTCAAATTATACTCAAATTCAATGATTGTACACCAGTAAGAAAAATGTATAATTTGATTGTATTTTTTTGTGATTTAAAGGATGATTTGATTTTAAAATTTGAATATTTAATGTTACGTTTACACATATAATCCATCAGTCGGGATACCACTAAATTCAGTGTGCTTGTATAGCATTTACTTTTGAGTTCAAACTCAAAGTTACAACGTTTGGAAGAGTTATACAGATAAAGGGAACATTTAATGCAGTAATTATACAGTAAGCTAGTCAAACGAAACACAGAATTTTGATCCTGAGAGCAGATGCAAGCTGTTTCTGTGTACACTAAATCACATCTTCTTCCTCTGGGGTCAGTAAAACAAAGACTGTTAACCTTTCCAGGTCCAGCTCCTCAGATCTGTCCTTCTCTGGAAAATGCAGTTCTTCCAACATCCTCTGACAAGCTCTCTGTTTGCTGCAGAAAGAAATCCCCACGCACTTGTCACCATCCTTTGTCTTTCTGTCTGTTTCCATAAGTACAAAAACAAGTCCTTTACATACTGTACCAAAGTAATTGGTACCCATTGAAAAGGAGGAACGAAACATACTGGTTACTGTTGAAAGCCAATTTTATGTATGTTTCTATATTATCATGCAAAAAATACTTTTTATAATGTTATTTGAAATGCTCTCTGTGTTTGGGGAGATTTTTATGGGTTTATTTAGATTGAGATGTTGACTTATGAAAACTACTGCAGGGTTGTCCACTGTTGATTCCACTTCCTTACATCAAGCAAAAAACTTCCTTTTAACAGCAGCTATGAGCAGAGACAGCAGAACTCCTCTTCCTTTTGGGGTGCATGCGCGTGCATTTGTGTCGGGGCAGAGAGCATAAATGATCTCGCAGCAGTGTTCCTCATTACATGTTCATTCATCATGCATTTGATGACTGATGGTGTTTATTTGCTAACAGGAGACTTTAATATAGGTGTTTAGAATGTACTAGAATCTGTTGATTATCCCGCAGCATTGATGCTGTTATTCCATTTAGACTAGACCTTCTGCAGTTTCCATTGCTGCCTGAGGAATCAAAGTTTGATTATCTTGAATTCTTTTGCCTGAAAAATGATAGAAAAGTACATAGCATTGCGATTTGTTTATAATGTGATTGTGTTATAGATGATCTGAATTGTGACATGCAGTTTAAAAATACAGCTCTATATCTTAGCAGGGAAGCTAGATTACTATATGCTTATGGGCCTTGCAGATGCATCCATTTTCTGTACTTGCGTGTCCTATGGAGAGATCCATAGCCTGTAGGACTGTGAATGTCCCATGATGGGGTGTCAGCTCATTGCAGGGCACTCATGCCATTCACACCTATGGACAATTTGGCAACTCCGAGTCACTGTAGCATGTTTTTGACCTGTACAGGGCAACCCTACAACAACACAGGGAGCCAGGGCAGTGTCTTGAACCCCAGTCCAAGAGGTCTGTGGCAAAAGTGCTAACCACAGCGCCACCATGCTCCTATGGGTTCATATGTACTGATCAAAATGAAATATAACATAAAAAATAAAAGTGGTCCCTGCAAAATTATTTGTTAGCGTGATTACTGGGTTCTATTATTGAATGATGGTTTAATAACAGTAAGGGTCATAGTTAACTTCCATGTTAACTTCCATTACGCTCCAGTAACTTGATATAGTTATTAGTACTCGCATTGCTTTAGTGTAATTCTCCTCAATAATTACTTTGGATTAAATTCTTGGTGATTGATTTCCCAATTATAGAAGCTATTTGTAGCAACAGGCACAAAACACTTTAAAAAAAAAGGCCAGACGTACACAAGTCATGGCCAGATACAAGTGCAGTATTTTAAAAATCAATTATATACACTAACTTCTGTTCTCTAAACAACATTAAATCTAATTTAAATACTATGATCTGCGATAATTATTTCCGTTTTTTTCCAGATAAATTCTATCCCTCAGGATGTATGTTTAGTATTTGATTATTCGCACACATAATATAAACTGTATTCCACTGATCTGTCTTGCATAGCTACTTATCCAGTACAAGATCATAGGAACCTGGAGTCTGTCCCAGGAACCACAGCGTACAGGCTGGCTGGGATGTCACTTATGCCAGTCTCTCATGGGGCACATATTCAGCCACCATCACAGACACCGGGCAATCTGGAGATGCCCATTC